TGTTAAATACAATGCCATATTTCAGTCTTCATCTCATATAATCTCTCTCTAACTTTTAGAAGTAAAAATTACTCCTTATTTTTGAAAATACTCTCATTTAAAAAATTTCTATGACACTATACCCTGCTGGTTTTGCCCATATCCCTCCTCTTCTGTTTCTTCCATACTTCCTTTTCTACCTCCCTGTTTTTCTTCCTTCAACATCCTCCTTTGGTTTATTCTGTATGTGTTTGTGTTATTCAAGACTATATAAACACTCTGCACTTTTTACCTGAACAATCTCATCTACCCCTTGATTACAATTACAACATATATTAGGATGATCCCAAATATATATACAAAGCTGAAACACAATGACTGAACTCCAGACGAGTATATTTACTTCATAGATACATTCACCAACATCTTAAATTCAATTATTCAAATCTGTATTGATTATCTTCTCCTAAAACATACTTATACTTTCACCTTTGTGTGATTTATATATAGCAACCTATTGGAGGGCGATGCAGCCAACCACTAGGGCATATAATCCTATAATTTTCCGACCTGCACTCCCAGTCATCATCCACTATTTTGTGGGACGTTACAAAAACCATCATGTATGGCAGGCTTGCTACCATCTACCCCTTCAGAAAACTGTGTGACAAGAATGTGTTACTGACTCTTTCCATCACACTCTCATCTCAGGTCAATCATCAAATTCTATGGGTTCTTAATCCTCGGTATATTTATCTCATATCCATAATTATTATCACAGGTTACTTTGCCATAACCACTTCTCTAGATTTTCCACTAATCTCTTCACTTGATTTTTTTTTGTTTTGTATTTAATAGTAAGTGATTTAAAATAAGACATTTGCCTTTGTTTATTGCCAAATAGTTTATAAATTCTTTATTTACACTTACATTTTTTGGAATGACTTTTATTTTTGAAATATCTCTTAAAAGTAAGGCATGTAAAAGGGTTCACCATTCCAGTAGGAAAATACAGAAAGTTGATTACATTTTTTCCCATAAATTGGCATTCTGGTTAAATAAAAAGAATGACCAATTTGTATATCCTGTACAGTTCTAACCTAAGCCTTTTGCAAATGAATAACCATATCTTGTAATTAATTAATTTTAATCTAAGTAATAATTTGAAGGCTACATACCTGAATTTCTGAACTGTAAAGTGAATAAATTATTTAAGCATGATCTACACAAATCTACTTTTGATTCTGTGAACAAATAAAACATTCATATTTTGAGGGAACCTCAATGCATGCATTATGCCATTATAAACATTCTTAGTGGGTACTTTGTTTACTTTGACTCTCCGGAGTTTGGTTAGCCCTACTTGTTCTTATACTAAATTTTAAAAAATGATCACATTTCATTCTTTTAGGCCTTCAAACTTCTAATTTTTAGTATAATCTAAAAGTATAATCCTTTGATAATCACATAAAACCATATATTCTGGTAAAAATGTGGGCAGAAAGAACTTCTTAAGCCCACCATTCTGACAATGCCGCTTATTCTAATACTTTCATTGTACTGCAATTTTCATTGCATTAGATATATTTTTAAATAAATGAGCTATTGGTCATGGGTTGGAGATCTTTTTGTTATGTCATGATTTCTTGTGTCAGATTTGTGCTGCCATAGCAGTACTGACAAGCTCATGTGATTTTCAGAGCCTAATTTATAAATTAGTGGTTTGGGCACTGGTAGAATTTATAAGTCAGTGACAAAATTGTATTTGATAAAGTAACAATGATGATTAGTTTTGATATTATTTAGTGACAGATCTATAACATTTCAAAATGCTAGTATTAGACTAATTGTAGTGTTGCTATGACCTGACCTGGTATGCAGTTCCTGGGAGCTCATTTGTAGCTCTTATCCATAGAAATTTAGTGAAGGCCTGAAAGGGTCTTAGTTATAAGACCATTAAACCTATAATACCTATCCCAGACTGTGTTTGAGTAGGATTGTGATACAGAAAATATTATAATGATGTTGTATTTGTCCTTTTTCTTAGATGTGGCCGTCTTGTATATCATCTTGGTTTGCCTTTTTCCTTCCTAACATTCCCATATGTAGAAGAAGCCATTAAGATTGCTTACTGTGAAAAGAAATGTGGAAACTGCTCTCTCACGGTATTTTTCTCAATTATTTTTCTGGGGAGAAAAGAGGAAATCTTTTAAGAGCTGTCTAAATAAGTTAGTGTTTCATGATAAATTAGGATAAATTAATCAATGCTTTTGCAGGTGTACTAAAAGTAAATAAAAATAATTTTTATAATTAAAAATATCCTGTCATCTAACCTCTACTTTAAAACATTTTCTGAAGATTGATGTTGCTACCTTTATCTAGAAGTGCTTTATAAATTAAAAATCAATGTAGATCATATTTCAATTACCACCAAATGATGTTGCATAAGCATAAGTGCTAAAAGAATTTAGTCAACAAACAAAACAATATTATTGTAGTATCCTGAACATGCCAGCACAAGAAGATGGTAATAGCAAAGTTTACCCACAGCATTACTTGGAATGGAACTGGGGTCAGAAACTACTTAATATTTTGAGGATGTAAGACTATCAGATTTTTCCTGAAGCTCTTCCACTGTCTGCCCATCGGCAGTCTGAGTTTACTTCAAAATGGAATAAGTTTTCTACTCATTACTGGTATTTATTTCCTAAAAACTATGAAAATATTTTTTCCTTGTTATAAGAAGAACTACATTTAATTTTTTTTTTTTTTGAGACAGAGTCTCGCTCTGTTGCCAGGCGCCAGGCTGGAGTGTAGTGGTGCGATCTCGGCTCACTGCAACCTCCGCCTCCCAGGTTCAAGCAATTCTCCTGCCTCAGCCCCCAGAGTAGCTGGGACTACAGGCACATGCCACCACTTCCAGCTAATTTTTGTATTTTTAGTACAGATGGGGTTTCACCATGTTGGCCAGGATGGTCTCAATCTCTTGACCTCCTGAGTTTTTGGGTTCTAAGTTGATTTTGTAAATTTATTTACAAATTAGCCTTAGGTTGAGGTTTAATGTTACATTTCTGTATCTATAGGCTTTGAGTCTCTGACTGGTAGGTACCACAAAACAATAAAGACTTCCAGTAAATTAAAGAACTAGGATCATGCAGAATGGATAATATGGTCAATGGGAGTCGGGCAGTAATTTGCTACTTTCAGCTGACAGCCTTATAGTAGGGAGACATTAACAAAGCTTTGGTGAAGTTCAAAACTTTTCCTGGCATAGGATGAAGTATGAAAAACTAACACATTTGAGCAGAGTTTATTAGCATTTTTGAATTATCAGAGCTAAATCAATACTAGATTATAGTATCATATGGCATTACATAAGATGAGCTGTTGACCTAGGTACAGAAGTTTCCATGTAGATCAACTGATTTTTTTATTTTTATTTTTTGAGACAAGGTCTGACTCTGTCACTAGGCTGGAGTGCAGTGGCACCATGTCAGCTCACTGCAACCTCCACCTTGCAGGCTCAGGTGATCCTCCCATCTCAGCCTCCCAAGTAGCTGGGACCACAGGCATGCACCACCACACCTAGCTAATTTTTGTCTATTTTGTAGAGACAGAGTCCTGCCATGTAACCCAGGTTGATCTCAAACTCCTGAGCCCAAGCAATCCGCCCACCTTGGCCTCTGAAAGTGCTGGGATTACAGGTGTGGGCTACCATGCCTGGCCTAGGTCAACTAAATTTAGGATTTGATATTAGATGACTTTCCTGCAATCTATGTTCCTTTTGCCAGTTTACTTTATTTGCTTCTGCAAATATAAGTACAGTGGTTTGTCATTCTTTGTAAGCCTTTAATAAAATGTCTAGATGTTAAGACTAACATCAGACTCTTTACTCCTTAATATAATATAAAGGCAACTCTATTCTAATTAACTAGTTGGAATTTCACATACTTTAGGTCTACAAATCATTTTGCAATATTTCTATCTCTATAAACTTGCTAATAGTGATTTATAAATTTGTTCCAGACTCTCAAAGATGAAGACTTTTGTAAAAATGTATCTTTGGCTACTGTGAATAAAACAACTGAAGCTCCACAGCCCCATCACCATCATAAGCATCATCGCAATCATGGACATCAGCACCTTGGCAGCAGTGAGCTTTCAAAGAATCAGCAACCAGGAGCACCAGATGCTCCTACTCATCTCACTCCTTCAGATCTTCATCACCACCATAAGCACAAGGGTCAACATAGGCAGGGTCACCCAGAGAACTGACATATACCAGGAAGTGAAGGTTTACAACATCCACAAAACAAGCTCTGACAAAAGAGATGTATAAATCAATTACTCTGAAAATTGCCCAAAGATTCAGAGTTGGCTCCTAGGAGCTGATGCTGACATTGTCGACATCTGATATTTGAAAAAACGGGGTCTGCAATCACCTGACAGTGTAAAGAAAACCTTCCATCTTTATGTAGCTGACAGGGACTTCGGGCAGAGGAGAATATAACTGAATCTTGTCAGTGACGTTTGCCTCCAGCTGCCTGACAGACAAGTCAGCAGCTTATACCTACAGAAGCCAATACCAATTGAAGCTGAAAGAATATGGCAAAAAAGTGAGAATGACCTTCAAACTAAATATTTAAAATAAGACATACTCCCCAAGTCAGTCTAGACACAATTTCATTTCCATCATTTTTATAAACCCTCAAATTAGTGAACCAAAAATAGAAATTGGATTTGTGCAAACATGAAGAAATCTACTGGATTGGCTTCCAGATTTTAAATTTTATGTCATAGAAATATTGACTCAAACAATATTTTTTATAATGGGGCAACTGAAAGGTGATTGCAGCTTTTGGTTAATATGTCTTTTTTTTTTTTCTTTTTCCAATGTTCTACTTGCTTTAATGAGAACAGAAACATAAACTATGACCTAGGGGTTTCTGTTGGATAATTAGCAATTTAGAATGGAGGAAGAAAAACAAAGACATGCTTTCCATTTTTTTTTTTTTTTTTTACTTATCTCTCAAACAATATTATCCTTGTCTTTTCAATCTTACATTTTTAACTAAATTTAAAGAAAGAAGTAGATACTTAACACATGAATATTTTGCTAAAAAAGCATATATATTTTAAATGTCCATTTATCTTTTTGGATATCGAAAACTCATATCTTGCTTTTACTATCACACATGAATAAAACCTTTGTATCCTTCTTTCTCTAACATTGTATCACACTCTTCTAAAACTTGATTGGCTGTCTTGAAAGATATAAGTGGAAAGGTAAAGAATATTGTCTGTCTCTGTTTTGCTTGGTAAGTATTTCCATAGTCAATGATGGTTTAATAGGTAAACTAAACCCTATAAACCTGACCTCCTTTATGGTTAATACTATTAAGCAAGAATGCAGTACACAATTGGATACAGTATGGATTTGTCCAAATAAATTCAATAAAAACCTTAAAGCTGACTCTTTTTGTGATGTAGGCTGTATGCATATGTTGAAATTAAAAGTGAAATTTTCAGTTGCTTTTAAGTAAAATGCCAACTAATGAATTTACTGCTAAGCTCAAAACCGTCTACGCTTAAGGTGAGAATCTTTGCCAACAGAAAGGCGTTGCTCTAAATCGCGAATGGTATTACGAAGAATTGCAATCTCTTTGTTTTTTTCTTCTTGAATATGTTGCAGTTTCTAAATGAAACAAAAAATTTGTTATTACAATTCAAAAGTAAAATTTAGTACAAGGAGCAACAAAATAATAATAAAGAAATACACTTCTGCTATAAATTGGAATTTTAAAAATACCTTATTGTTAATAAGAATCATGATTTTTATAGAAACATGCTTAGAAAATTTTCTTAACCAACAAATCATGGGAGAAAAACTCACATACCCTTCTGTAGATACTCTGTGGCAAAACGGTAGAATCTGGATATGATTTTGATTTAGTCTGAACTCTTGCTAGTTTGGCATCAAACTGAATCAAATTTAAAAAGAAAGTTATTGAAGCTCTAGACAATTAGAAACAATTTTTTCAAAATCCATGATATCTTTTGACATGCAAGCTGTAATTTAGGTGTATTCTCTATAATAACAGACAATAGAAAAATTCTGCTTTAAGAAACAATTTTTCAGAAAGAGCAAAGGACACACATACAAGATTAATCCTGACTGCATGGTAAAATTACCTGGGTAGGTTTTTTTTTTTTTTTTTTTCAAAAACCTGGTGTGTAGCTGGCATCATTTTTTTCTCAAAACGTGATTCTATAGTGCAGCCAGGGCAGAGAATCTAGTTTAACTTAAAGATAGGTAAAAATATTTTTACACTAAAATGAATATATTATAAAGAAAATGTAATCAATAGTCAGGAGAAAACCTCACATATCTTTCTGCAGGAACTTTGAGGCTGAATGGTAGAATTTGAATACCATCTTGTCGATTTAGTCTGAACTCTTGTTGGTTTGAATTAACCTGAATCACGTTCAAAAAATTCTCATAGGCCATTCTTATAGGCCAAATTTTTCATTTTTGCACAATATTCCATTTTAACTTCAGATTTAGTTAATATAGCCTCTCTGAGGACTAAAATTAAGCTCTGAGGTTATGTTCTGGTTTGAGGAGAGAAATGGTTAGGTACAATAAAGACAGATAACAAGGGGCTCTGTATACTAGTTACATAATAGGTGATAAGGCCCAAATGGCAAACAAAATGCAAATTTCCAAACAGAGGAGGATTAGAAGTTGGCGGTAGATCTTGAAACAGGCCCATTAATTTCAGTTGGCCATTCAGTCTGTCTTGTGGTTTGTGGTACACTTGGCCAGATGGCAGCAGCAGCAGCAGCAGCAACAAAGGGCATCTAAATTCAACATCAGCTCTCTTTCTGCCCAATGATTACACATGGTGCTTCACCAAGTACCCCAGGGATTCCAAAGTTTCAGGAATATGAGTAGTATGCGATCTTAACTAAGATCTGTGAGTTCTTACAACACAAGGTAAAATGAAAGTTGGAGTGGGGGGAAGTGATGGAAGAATGATGTAAGGGTATCTTGATATAGTCTAAAAAAATTTAAAGGACAAATATTTTGTCAAAGTACCTTTGAGATTACGATATCTGGTTAAATGAACTACTCAAGATATTTGAGTGAAGAGCTAGAGCCTCAGCTTTTGAGATGTCCTATTTGAAGTCCCTTTAAAAATATTTTTTAGGAATTTGGTTTGTTTGCCCCTGAGATATATATGTTTCCAGAAAGATATTAGGAATACATTTGTCTTTCTTATGAGAATTAAAGCAAAAGAAATTTCTAGTTGGTTTACTGGGGTTCGACAAATTGCTGCTGGGATGAGAATAATGTGAAGCATTAGAAACATTCTTCCCATGCTGGAATGGTAGAATTATGAAACCTGCATAGAATTTACTGTAAAATGCAGTAAATCCCTGAATTTTCTGTCAAGGAAATGTAGTGCTAAAAACACAATAGCTAAAAAGAAAGTTTCACTGTATTGGTTTAATAGCTGATCAGTTACACTGAAGATAAAATTAGTAAGCTGGAGAATAGGTCAGAAGAAAATATCTACCCTGAGACAGGGAAAAGCAAGAAAATGACATATACAGAAAAGAGCATATGAGATATAGGAGCTGGTTGTAAAGTCTGTGAAAGGCTGTTGTCTCTCATCTAGTGTTGGGCCTAAAGTTGCTGCAGTTAAAAAGAAAAGTTGGATGTCAAGTGGGAAATACTAAGAACAAAAGTTCTCAGAGAAACAAAATCTTCTCTAAAAACCAGGACGTTTTGAATAACTGAAGAGTCTACCTTCAGGTCAAGTGCTGAAAGGCAATGCAGATGACAGTTATATGGTGTGTGATTACAGCAATCATTTGATGGAGAATGAGCTTGTGTGAAGTCCTCTTACAGAATTGCTTCTAATCCTAAAATGTATCTTATTGTGGTGAAAAACAATCAAAGTACAGTTTAGGGGATGTGTCCTCAAGTTTGGCAAACTATTAAACACCTACCTCTAGTTGTAGCTTGATTATTTCATTTTGTTTTTCTTTTTCTTGATTTCTTAGCTTTGCATTTAACTCTGAAATTTCCATCTCCTTTTTCCCTATTAGTTCTTTGTGCTTTTCTTCATTTAATTCAACTGAATAAATGAAATAAAATTCATTCATTAAAAATTTCAAAAATATTATAAGCTTGTATTTCCTTGGTATTTTAAATAATTCCTAAGAAAGTAAATTTTATTAATGAAACATATTTTAGAAATGGTTTATGTTTAGAATAGCTTTTCTGTATTTTTTTTACAAGACCCTGAATAATGTTGGAGACACAGAGGTCACTTGCCAAATCTTTTTGAATGAATAAGGTAATTTAAATGATTAAGCATCAATGGCCTAGAAAATAAATGGGAGATACAGTGGTTGAAGAGGGATACAAAGCCTGAGTTTCTAGGTATGAAGGGCTTAAACTACTGGATGTCTCCAGAGCTACATAAAACCCCTGCCATACTATTCCATATGATCAGGCCATTCTCATGTTCACATCATGTCTTTATGCTTTATCAAATTTCTTCTTCTCCCAACTTTCTTATTCCTGTTAATGACACCATGGTATCTAGGATGAGAGGCTCAAGAAAATCTTTGATTTTTAATGAAAAAGGAGACAATCAACAAGTGCTACAATGAAGGGCTTCCTAGCTTCCTGATATAGATATTTAGGTAATGAATTTGTAGATTTCTCCATGACTTATATTTAAGGCTATTAAGTCTATCCATAAACACAGCTTTAGTACAAATTTTGAAATGTAATGTTTTTTATATAATTCAGTTCAAAATATTTCCCAACTTCCTTTGAGATTTCTACCTTGATCCACAGGTTTATCAGAAATAATTTCCAAATATATAGGGATTTTTAAGTTATCTGTATCTTACCAACTTCCCCTTAATTGCAATTAAGATCCTACTCTGTATGATTTAAGACCTTTGAAATGGGTTGAAATTTGCTTTTTCATTTATGATATGGTCATCTTCCTTAACATGCATACTTGAAAATAATATGTATTCTGCACTTATAGGGTATATTATTTATGTCAATTAGTATCAGTTGTTAGCTTTGCTGTTTAAGTTTTCTATATCATTACTGATTTTGCATATTTGAATGTACTTTTCTACCACTAAAAGGTGAATTCAAGTCTCTCGTTATGATTGTGGATTTGTCTGTCATCTACTAATTCTGCTAATTTTATTTGGTGCATATAAATTTAGAATTATTTTATTACCCTAGTAAATCAAACACTTACATCAGAAAATATCCATCTTTTGCTCTAGTATTGCTTCTTGCTTTAAAGTATACTTTGTCCAATATTAATATAACTATGCCACCTTTGTGTTGGCTACTACTATATACATGGTATATCATTTTCCATCTTTTATTTATATCTTTCTTATATTTTATATTAATATGTAATATTTATTTATTTATTATAAATTATTCAGGGTCTTTCTTATATTTTATATTAATAATAATAGCTTTATATTTTAGGTATATTGAAAGCAGCATATTAGCAGATTTTAATCTTTATTCAATCTGACAATCTTTGTCTTTTAATTGGAAATTAAAGTTTAATTTAATGCATTTAGTAATATATTTGGGTTTAAATAGACTAGCTTATTATTTGCCGGCTTTTACATTTTATGCTCATTTTTCTCTCATCTTCATTTGGACTGAATAACTATTTTTACTTCCCTTTTTTCCTCTTCTATTAGATTCATAGTCATTAGCTTGAAATATATTTTTTTATTCTTCTTTAGTGGTTACCTTAGAGTTTATAACATGCATATTTGACTTATCAGAATTTAATAAAATTAGTATTTTTATCACTTTATGGACATTATGCAAGTCTTAAAAACATTTTAACTCCATTTATTCCCCCTTCTATCTTTGGTGGTTTTGTACTATGTCAACTTAGCTAAATTAGAACTATGTTTCCCACAATTCCCTTGTCTCTACGTTTCTAAATTAGAGTTAGCTATAAGAGACATCTCCACAAGATATGAAACATGGAAGTATAGAAAGAACTAATTTCCGCTGATATTTAGTATAAGATGCTGGGTAGTGTTTCAGTTCACACATGGTGTTGCTGGTTTTCTGGCTCACCAAATCAGCAGCTATTATTTTCTGGAGGTCAGTGTAGAGCCCAGGCAATGCTGCAATTCATACAAGTTGTCACATATCAATGGATCATCTCACTGATAAGGAAAATCATTTGGTTCCACAGCTTCTTAAGTTCCCACCAGATTTCTTTTTTAATCTGCTAGAAGTCTCAGGCCAGGTGTCCTTGAAGCTCAATGGCATAGGGCACCATCTTTTCCTGTAGGTTGTCATGTCATTAAGGTTGGAGGAGGTACAAGAAAGATGCAAATTCCAGTTCGTTCTCAGTATTTCCCACTTGACATCCAGCTTTTCTTTTTAACTACAGGCCTTTCTGACTGCAGCAACTTTAGGCCCAACACTAGATGAGAGACAACAGCCTTTCACAGACTTTACAACCAGCTCCTATATCTCATATGCTCTTTTTTATATATGTCATTTTCTTGCTTTTCCCTATCTCAGGGTAGTTATTTTCTTCTAACCTATTCTCCAGCTTACTAATTCTATCTTCAGTGTATCTAATTGGTTATTAAACCAATACAGTGAAACTTTATTTTTAGCTATTGTGTTTTTAGCACTTACATTTCCATATATTTCTCTGGTATAATTTTCAGTTCTCCACAGAAATTCCCCAAGTCCGACCAGGCTTGGTGGCTCATGCCTGTAATCCCAGCACTTTTGGGAGGTCAAGTGGCTGGATCACTTGAGGACAGGAGTTTGAGACCAGCTTGGCCAACATGGTGAAACGCTGTCTCTACTAAAAATATAAAAATTAACCAGGCACAGTGGTGCACACCTGTGGGCCCAGCTACTCAAGAGGCTGAGGAAGGAGAGTCACTTGAATCTGGGAGGTGGAGGTTGTAGTGAGCTAAGATTGCACCACTGCACTGCAGCCTGGGTGACAGAGTGAGATTCTGTTCAAAACAAACAAAAAAACAAAAAAACCAAAAAAAATTCCTGTAGTCCTTTTTTCTTTGATTATGTTAATCACAGCCATTGTAAATTAAATATCTGATGCTGCCATTATCTGGATCATAAATGAATTTATATTTATTTCCTTTTAAAATATTTATAATTGAGGTTGCTTAGGTTTTTGTATTTTTAAAGTCAGATTTACTGCAGCATAATTCATATGTAACAAAATCTCTTTTGAGGTATACAGTTTGATGAGTTTTGAGAACCATATATAAGAATCTAACCATCACTTCAATCAGGTAAAATTTTTCTGTCACTTTAAAAGGATCCCTTTTGCCCCTTTACAATCTATCCTTTTGCTCGAATACTGGCAAACATTGATCTGATTTTTGTCATTATAATTTTCTCTTTTTCAGGAATGTCATATAAACAGAATCATATAGCATGTGGCCTTTTGTGTCTGGTTTCTTTCATTTAGCATATTGCTTCTGAAGTAATCATATTGTTGAAGGTATCAGTAGTTTGTTCCTTTTTATTGCTGAATAATTTCCATTATATGGATGTACTATGATTTGTTTATTTATGTTAATGGATTTGCTCAGTTCCAGGTTTGGGCCATGATGAATAAGGTTTCTGTAAACATTCACAAGCAGGTCTTTGTGCAGACACATGGTTTCATTTCTCTTGGGTAAATACCCAGGGGTGGGAATGCTGAGTCAGATGGTGTATAATGTGGTGGCCATGAAAATGAGCCTCTCAGATCTCAAAAATCCTAATTGATCACTTGCCCCAGCTTCTGCACTTGAAAATCCATTACTGTATTTAAGCTGAGGCCATGCTTCTATGGTTGCAACTAGTCAATGACAGGGTATGTAAGGAATACTACTGTGGGCCAATTTTTGGGAGATGTGGGATTCATTCACAGGTGAATTTGGATCAATGACTCTCCAGTGCCTTTACCTAACTTAGGACTGCACTGTAGCCTAAGACTTTTAAAAACCTAATATTTATTTCTCTCTTTCCTTCACAGAAGTTAGACCTACATTATGGACTGACAGCTTACCTGGCCTTTTCTAATTCCCTCCCCATTTCTTCTCATAAGCATTCCCACTACAATACATCTCTTGAATGTCTAATCCTATCTTGGTGTTTCCTTCTTTAAGGACCTGAACTAGCGCAAAATAACAGATATAACGGGGTTCTGAGATTGGCTCACTTACCACTTTGTGGGCAATGAAGAAGCCATCCTTAGTGGTATGTGGAGTACTGGTAGTTCCTGTAATTACTACAGATTTCACCAGAAGAAATCTGGGAAAATGTCCTGATGGTGGGGAATGCCTTGCCAGTATGATAATTAAGACATTTGAAATATCAATGGAAATAATGCCCACAAAGGCAATAGCGTTATCTGGTTACTGCTAAGTTCAATTGACATTCTACTAAAGGATCATGAGAAATTGAGGGCTGTTAGCAAAAAGTTACAGAATTAAAGAATAAATGTGAGAGTGAGAGATCCCTTTGGTAGCTTACAAACATACTCTTACCTCGTGTTTGTGTTTGTAATGGAACATCAAACACAGCTAAGCAACAGAAAATCTAATAGAGTTGAAGAACTGCAGAGATGTTTAAATGCTTAGCTAAAGCAGGTCTACTATGATAAATTTTGGACCCTGGTTGGAAAGACTTGAGATCCTGAAGAATAGGATGAAAACATGTGGGTGGATGCCTCTGAGGATGCTAGCTCTAAAGATTTCCCTAAGCCCTTGAAGTCTGAAAAGGTGGCCGACTCTTTCCTGGTAAGAGCTAGCAATACCCCTGTGCTGAAAGATGTAGAGGCTCCTCTTAGAAGTTGCCTCTATCTCCTCTTTTGGCTGCGAGGCCAATAACTAGGGTCAAGACCCAGCATAACTTGGCTGGGAGACAAGCGATTATATCTAAAAGTATCTGGAAGAATGATCTAGGTTGTATTGGTAAGAGTTACGTGAGTACACCCCCTGAGAACAGATTTTGAGGCTGCTGGATCAAAGAAGACAGAAAGTAAGACCAGGTAAGCAAGAATTCATTGACTCAGCATTACTC